TCACTGAAAATATTGTTGATCTCTTATAACTGAATTATTTTAAATTAAACTATTAAAAATCTACTCTATGTGAATATTAAAAAATTAAACATCAATTTTAAAAATGTGTGAAAAAAATTGGCCCTCTTTGTGAGAAGATTTGTACGATGTTGAGTATTTAGATATGATATAGGTCAGTGACTTTGAAAAATGGTCAAATTTTTTAGAGATGAAAATAAAATTATAATATCATTAAAAAATCATCAATTGATTTAAAATGGTGATTAACATATTGTGTTGTTGTTATTGGGATATATTAAAATAGGTCATGTGACCAGTGATGTCAGCCTCTGTCACACGTGGTGAATAGAGTCTACCTGAAGTAACGAGAGAGATAGACAGCAATAGTTTACCTGTATAGGCTACACTTGGTAATTGATAGGGCTTTAAAACTAGCAGTCGACAGTACAGATTAGATGCTTTTTAGTGTGCATGAGTTTGTATTTAATTGGATTTTGATTTTGGATTAAAATTCAAGACTGACATATACAACAGATGTTAAGAGGGGCCTAATTGGTAGTTAACAATGACCATTAGATGTTCTTTAGCGTGTACATAAATTTGTATTTAATTGGATTTTGATTTTGGATTTAAATTCTGAACTGACATTTACAACAGATGTTAATAGGGGCCTAATGGGCAGTTGACAGTAGTAATTAGAGAGGCTACCTGAGTTTGTATTTGGTATTGGATTAATATTTTGGACTAAATACTCAATATCAGAGGTTAATGGCTTTATACCGCATTTAACTTGTTTAAATTGTACAGTTACAGTTTGATTTTGAAATGATTAACAATTTCAAATTTGCTCTTATATGATATGAAGAAATCATTTTATAGTCCATCTTCTAATCTAGCAGACGACGACTAACTGACAATTATCTGAGCTACCTCGCTGATAAATTTTTGAATTTTCAAAAGAATAAAATTGATATTAGCATTTTTACACTGTAAGCCTGTCTTGAATATCAATAAGAAAAGAAATTCAAAAGAAAGTAAAAGTAGAGAAAACATGACACTTGGTGTCACAATATCACCTTTTTTCTCATAAATTTCTATTTTTTATAAATGGATAGTCCATCTTCTAATCTAGCAGACGACGACTAACTGACAATTATCTGAGCTACCTCGCTGATAAATTTTTGAATTTTCAAAAGAATAAAATTGATATTAGCATTTTTACACTGTAAGCCTGTCTTGAATATCAATAAGAAAAGAAATTCAAAAGAAAGTAAAAGTAGAGAAAACATGACACTTGGTGTCACAATATCACCTTTTTTCTCATAAATTTCTATTTTTTATAAATGGAGAATTTTTTGAGTTTTGACATTTTTTGGTGAATATTTATAAAGTAAAAGAAAAATTATGTGTTTTAAGTTTCTATGATGGATATAGGCCATTATTTTCACGACTTTCATTAAAAATATTGTCATTATCTTTGTGGTAGTTTGAATTACAAAGATACTCAGTTTTAGAGAGATCAGTCTAAAAGCATTGTTATCTGCTGGGAAAAAGTGATCGAAAATTTGAGAGAATTTTGAAGTGTTATTAGAATAATAGGAAAAAGTACAATAAAGGAACTTGTAGAGATAAAGGAAAATTTTGTGAAACAAAAATCCAAAAAAGCAAATAATTTGGAAACAAGTACAAAAGATATAGTGAAAAGTTTTTGCTTACAGTTCAAAGGAAAAAGATTGTAGGGAAGTTCGAAATAAAAAGTACGAAGGAAATAGCAAATGTTTAAGAAGAAAGTATGAAAGAAACTAAGAAAAGTTCTGACACCAATTAAGAGAAGAAACAAGAGTGAAGAATTAAGATATTTGGATAGATTTCAAACAGAAGACATAATTAACTCATAGGAATTTTACAATCAGAAAAACTTAAAACTAACAAAAATTCAAGATTTGTTTGAAGACAAAATATAAATCAAAGTTGTTGCCAAATTATTGAGATTTTTAACCTATGATTGATGGATGCAGAAGTCGAATAATTTGGATAAAGACATTTATGTTGTCATGTACATTTGAAAAATAAAACCAAAAAGGACGTCTGTTATGTAAAAAGGTTTTGTTACAAGCATTCATTTTCAAAATATTTCTTTGTTATGTTTCGTCAAGCTCTGGGTTTTAAAAAGGAAGGAGTGTATTTACAGCAGATTTGGATAAAGAAACTGGTCGAAGTGTTTTTAATGCAATATCACCTGAACACCTGTCAACTGTAGTAAAGGTGTTACCTGACTTGACTGCTGTATTACGTTAGAAGTATATGTATCATGTATTAGTTGATAGTCATAGTTTATGGTATATCATCGTTATTAATATATATTAGTTGACAGATCTTATTGGGATCAAGGTGTTTCCTTATTTAAACTGGATTAAATTGGAAGTACTTATATCAAATACATCAGTACATACATTCTATGAATTGATTTGTGTATCATGCTCAAGCAAGGATTTTTATTATAGGCCTATCATATATATATCAGTTGATAGAAATATAATATGGTATAACATCATAAATATATTTGTGACATAACTTGTTGTACATTTAATCCAGTGAACAGATTTGTTAAAAGATAAAAAAACAATCTTCTCAAGAGTTACCTTAAATAAGCTGAAAGTGAAAGTACATATTATATATCATATACATATAAGTGGATAGGATTTAAATGGCACAATATAGATTGCATGTCTTCTTGCAAGATTGAAAAAAGATAGTTTGACTTACAAAAGAAAATAACTAAGCATTTTTTTCTAATTTGAAGTTGGAATTTGTATTGTGTTGCAATAACATTGAATTTGATATATTTTACAAACATAAGATAATATGACTTGTGTTGTTCATGTTATGAATTGATTTGTGTTTCGTGTTCAAGCAAGGATTTTACCGTTGACAACTGGACAAGTTCAAAGAAATAATTGTGCATTTTATGAATGGACTCTGAATGTGAATCAAGCCTAAGCACAGTCTTCATTTTGAGATTTGGACAAGTTAACTTCAAGCAAGGATTTTATTCAAGCTTAAGCAACTATTTTGCTTTTATCAATAACTTGAGTAGAATTTGGAATATTGAATGTTGTTTGTTATCAAGCCAAAGCCAGGATTTTCAGCTCTGAGATACGAATATATTCCTATATGATATGAATAGTGATGCTTTGAAAAATTAACTCAACAGTGTAGTTATAAGAGAAACTAAATTCAAGATTGAGAAAAATTAAATTCAAGATCGTGTTTTGACGTGACTTATCAACCAATCGAAAGTGACCTTGGCAAGGTCTGATATCCGATGTTACCTCACCAGTTCTGTGTCTTTTTTTGTAAATCTTTACCTTTGAAGATATAGGATTAATGATTTAAAACATCATTTGTGAAAGAATCTATTCATATTGAAGATATAATTTATTTGCTCAAAAGAGATACAACCAGTTTATAATTTTGATAAATCTGTTTTGTAACTGACTAACTTGTCACCATGGTATCTCCTGCTCCTCAAAGAGCCGTTACAGGTAAATAATTTTAATGTTTTTACTTAAAAAAAGGAATTTTTTATAGGTTTTTTAGAGATTTATGGGCATGGTAACATTTCACCTAATTTTAAAATAAGTGCTTCAGGATTTGTTCAAATATCCAAAAAGTTTAGGCTGAAAAAGTTGAAAAGAGAGAGTATTAATCAGCTTATTACTTCTAAAACATGCAAAATTCTAAGTTCTTATTCAATTTCATATGAGTGAAATCTATAAATGTCAAAGACTTATGTCTTATGCATAAAATTCGTACAAAATGGGACATGTTTGTATTTGAGTTATTTGAAAGGTGAATGAGTGCACAATGAAGACTGAAGTTTTGAGAGGAGTTTGAGTTTTATGTCATGTGTATACAATGTTCAATTGGAAAGGTCAATAAGTAGAGAATTAGTTTAGTCATTTTGACTTGACAATGATAAAACATGTCTGAGTCTCTGTGTCTGTTTTGATAAGAAGGGGTGTACCACTGTCTGTGTTGGATTGACGTCATGTACATGTTTACATCAAACTAATGGTCGGTGATCATGGGTTCCAATCTCGATCGTTTTGAAACAATCTGGTGATCTTGAATTAGTCATCTTTCCTCATTATCCCAGTTGACACAGCTGTAAATAGGTCAGAAACTCCAGGCAGTAGTGGCGGTAGCCTTCTGAGATTGGGGGTACAAATAGGGGGCAGACTGACTCAATGTGGGGACAAATGCTGAGACTGAATTCAAAATTTGGCTGCTCTGCGATGGTATCATAGTTGCAAGCCTCTCATAAAGCGTGTGAAAGGGTTCTCTCAAGAAAATTTTAGAAAAAATGCATTGATAGAATTGAGGTTTGATCAAGCTTAAGCTTGTTGACAGGATCCTTGAAAACCTATGAAGTAGTTATCATTGAAAGATCATGCATATTTTTGCTTGTACTATAACCACTGTAACAGTTGGTACAACATATGTTTATGAATATATATCGATTATACTATACTTTCTTTCAGTGATTGACATGGATTAGTCATAAGCATACATTGATAGACTTCTGGATGAAGGCTATAAGGCTTGGCAATCTTTGACCTTGACACCTTTGCTTAAGATGATGAGGTTGATCTGAAACAGGCCTCTGTGACAATTACTCTAGAGATGTAGCTTGATGGCTCTTTCTGGCCCTGGTTAATAAAACACCCATTTCTTATTGTGTAAAACTAGTCTTTAAAGTTGTCTTTTTATTTATTTAGGTGTCTTTTTTAGGCAGCCATGTTCTTGAAGCAATCTATCCATAGATACGACTTTAATATTTTACTTACAATAATTGACAAAATCTGCATCTTTTATGATGTGGGAGTTGTTTAATATCGTGTTTTCTTTGTGAAATATCATATGAAAATCTTTTTTAAGCTAGAATATAAACATCCCTTAGGCAACGTCTAAAAAGTACTAATTTTGATATTTTTAAAATGACAAGAAAATATCAAAGAGATAAGTTGCATAAATATATGACTAAAGATATTAATTTTGACAGGGGAGGTAAAAAAGATGTATTACTTAATGATTTGTTGATTATATGATCAACCTGAGGCCTTCACTTTCCTTTGATCTTTCTTAATGCAATTGACTTGAGGTGTGATTCACGTAAACAAAAACCATCTATCAATACCTATAATTGGCTTATATAAATTTGAATTTTATGTTGTTGTCAATTTGAATGTTAAATAATTGCTACAGTATGACACATAATGCTTTTCAAGGTGGTACAAATATTGAAGCACAAAATTCCAACTTTGGAAGCATTTTTCAAAAAAGATATTTCACCACAGAGCTACAAGACTTCTTACACTTATCGATAGTCCATGGCTCACTTCATCCAAATAGCTTTGTATTTAAGAGATTGTCTGCACTGATAACATATACTAATGTTTGTAAGAACTGTATCATATATGCTTATATGGAAATAAACTAGTGGTTTATATTAAAGATATTCATCTTATTTTACAAATGATAGATGAAAAACTAGTACTTCGAATAAACCAAGTACCAATGATCTGAGCTGCAAAATATATTTGTCATATTTGACAGGTTAGCTTTAATATTTTAACAATGATATCATATTTGATAAGTTTATAAAGGAAATGAACTGGTTGTTTATATTAAAAATTTACCATATCTCATTTTACTAATATCCTAGTATCTTTATCTTCTTTATATATCACTCCTATCATATAACAAAAACATGTCAACAATCTAACTCTTAATAGGTCAAGAGGGGACATGCTTATTTTATTGTAGTCAAAATATAATCTTAAAGTAACATAACCCCTTGATAAAAAATGATATTTGTGGGATAACTACTTGAACGATTACTCTGTTAACCTCAACAACAAAAATTGGATACTGAAAAAAAAAATCTTTTATAAAAGCTACTCTTGACTCTCGTAAAGGTACGTAGCTTTATCCCATGATAAGAATTATATTTGTGAGATAGATACATACTTAGTTATACAAGAATGGGATCTTTAAAAATATCATCCAATTATGATCTACAAGAAAGCTTTATGGACTTTCTTAGAGGGACTGCAGAAGTGTAGGACATAAAACTCCATTCATTTCATTTCATTTCTTAGAGGAATGTAACCTTATCTCATGTTATAATTGATATTTGTTAGACATATATTCATTTAACCTCATATTAGATTATACTAACTGTGATCTTCAAGAAGGTCTTGTCGATTCTCTAGAGGGAAGTAATGTAACGAAATGTTTAAAACACTTAACATAACACTTAAGACTGGGCTGGCAAAATAAATTCGCCTTTAATATGGTCTTAAGGACTCTTATGAAGGAAAGTATCATACATATACAAATATAATGGATTATTAGGAACAATTCAACAATGGTTTTTATACCAAGAATATTTTAGAAACTGTACATTAAGCCTAATACCATGAAATCTACACTTATTAAATACCAAACATACAACACCTTCTAGAAATGTAAACATGTATTGTTTAGTGGTGACAAGTTAATCTGGATAGTGTTTTCTTGCTGTCAGTGAAGTACAGGAGAATGATAAATTACCCTCATCCAATACCAGCACACAGAATACAAAATAACATTTGTTAACTTTTTTGAATTAATCTTTTTCTGTGATACAAAATGTGTAAAATAAAACTTGTCATTATTTTGAGTTGTTACAAATGTCTTCTCAATGTCAAGCTAGTACAAACTTCATCTTATACCTTGACTACAAAAGCCACCTTACTTGAATCACAAGTGTACACACAAATATAAATGCAGAACTTCCGTATCATGAGAAGGGTGGCTCTTGTAGTCGAGGTATTAGACACAGTTCGTAATAGCTTGATATTGAGAAGATGACATGAAAATGGTTTTAGAGGAATTCAGCCTGTTTAAATCTTGTATGTTACAACAATTAGTGTTTTTGGAAAACAAATGTGCATCAATTTCAGGATGCTGCTGAACCTAAGACATGTCAACAATGTATGCATGTTATTTCAAAACTGAGCAATAACAGGTTTAAAAAAATTCTTCAAATTCTAAGATTCTTGAACTAATAAATCATTTTTGTGTACTTTCAGGTAATTCCAAGAATAATAACACAACAAGAGCTACCTCTCCCGGTCATCACAGTGGTATTCCTACACCAGGTGGTAAGGCAATTCCCACTCGTAGTTCCTCCGCAGCTGAGAAACAGCTGAACCGAACCAGTGCTAGCTCCACCAGTTCTACTTCCTCCACGAAAAGTAATCCTGGGAAACCAGCCAATAAAAACTCTATGTTAGACAAATTTAAATTCTTCAATTCCAAGGAGAAGGACAAGAAAGGAGGGGTTAAATCCTCCTCGAAAAAAAGTGCATCAAGTTCCAACGCGAAAAGTGAGTCAGATTCGAGTAAGGACACTAAGTCTTCCACCAGTCCGAGGAGTTCCAGCTCCTTTGAGACTGGTGCAAGCACGAGCAGCAGCAACAATGGACCAAACAGTCCAAAACTGCCGGCAAAATCTGGCAAAAAATCTCTTGTGCGTGCCTTTAGCACTAAGCGTGAAACCCCCAAGACATTAGCTCCTGAAGAGAATGGTAAAAAACGTAACACCCCTTCCCCAGGTTCCCAACAGCCAAGAACCCCTTCTCCTAACACCAACATCCCCTTGGGGCCTGGAGCACCACCACCAGTGCCCAAAACATCACCTCCACCCAGCAGAAAAAATCTTGCCAAGGCTGAGAAAGTTGAAAAACCATCGAAATCTGGAACTTTGATTCCGAAATCATCTTCAGGAAAATTTAAATCTGCTGCTTCCACTCCCACCTCATCACAAATACCAGCTCCGAATTTTGCCATGCCGAAATCGTCCAGTAAATCTGGAAAATCAAGCAAGGAGGAAAAGAGTAAAAGTTCGAAGGAAAGTAGTAAAGCATCGTCGTCTTTGCAAGGAGCGTCCTCTAGTAAGATATCGAAGGGACATTCGTTATCCAGTCCTGCATCAACACCTGATGGCTCGAGACCGATGTCCCCTATTGTTCATTCAAACTCCAATCATTCAGGCATGAACCACGCCACCCGTTCATCTCAGGAAAATAGCAGCAATTATAGCCAATCACAGCAAGCTCGTGTGTACGCTCAGGACAATAACATGTATTACCGTGTCGAACATGGCTCGGGGGTAGCAAACCCGCATTCTAATGCGCATGCACCCACCGATCAAATGAACATGGTGTCTAAATCATCGCGGACTCCAAAAAGTCAAATTGTTATACCGAGTGCTCGCGGAATGCATGGTGGCGCCACTATGACTCAAACTGTGAATGTTGTTAAACCACAATGCACTATGGCGCCGACTCGGAGTGTTTCAAAAGCTGACGGAAATACTCAAACAAACTTATCAGTGATGCAAAAGACAATTAACACCTCAAAATATGCAGTGCCAAGAGACAGTAGTAACCATAACTCCCATACTGACGTTAGTTACTCAAAACCCAGTGATTCTGTGTTCGCTAGTCATATGGCCACCCCTGTACATCCTCAAAGTCCAAGCATGGCTGAACGTGTCCTGAATACTGGCCTCGAAAAGTGTTCACCTAGGGATGAACCAACAAACATTTCCACTAGCCTATCATCAAGCCAGTCTTCCAATACATCAGGAAGTGTATCGTCAAACGATAGTGTGATCCAAAAACCAGGAGTTGAGAACAGTACTTACGATCGCTTGATGTCAAGTTCATCAAATTCTCCGAGACTAGGAGTTAAAATGCTGGGAAAACCTGCCAATAACGTAGCCATAGTGCAACCGCGTCATGGTGAAAAAATGGAAACCACTTTTGATCGTGAAGTAAGAACTGAAAAAGTGAACCAGCAGCAAAATCAGAAAAATTTATCAGGAAAGGAAACGACTTTCTCTGAAAAGAGTACAACCTTTGTAGACGATTGTGGGGAAACCATGGACATTAAACCAATGCCTCCAATAATGAGAGCATTGCCTTATGGGTATTTCCGAGGCTACACTGGATATACTGGACTATCATCGAATCGTAATTTCCATATTCCCGGAATATCTGTACCGCCCACTCAAGCAATGTACGCCAGCAGTGGAAGTAGACTTGGAGTGAATCGCCCGATTTTGGAGCATCCAAAATTTTATTCTGGACAAATTAAACGTTCTGGATCAAATGCTCCAAGCATTAATAATGATCCGGATTACGCCTCTGATGTGGATACGTACGATTATGTTTCTGGATACATGTCAGACGGTGATATCTTGAAAACAAATAACAGAGTTGATGATTGGTCAAGTGGATATATGAGTGAAGGTGGCGCCTCTCTTTATGCCAGACGTCTGCAGCAGAGGTTTCGTGAGGGGATGCAGGCAGTGAAAGATTGTATGCAGAAATCCAGTGGAGTTATAGATGATGACAGGTAAGGGAATTTCGTCTATTTCACCCCTGTTGGTCCCCATGGTAATTTATCAATGACTTTCTTGCAGCCACTTGCAAAATTCTTAAAATCTTTAATAACAAGAGGTTTTAGTGTGTAGCAGGGTCATTTAAAATTGACTCCTATTTGTGCCATTCCAATCTTCTATCAGATGTTGGCTTACTGTCACAACAGTATATGCGTCACTTATGCGAAAGCTGCTAATAATATCAATGGGTACTTTTAGTAACCACTCATGAAATTCTTAAAATGGTTACTTATGACTTCATGGCCAGTCTAAAAAACATTTCCTTTTAACAATCCCAATATTTGTTCTGAGATATATTCCTGTCCTTCACTTAACCTGCTGAGATTGACTTGTTGGTTCGGCTAGTAATTTCTACTTACAATACTTCACAGTGGTGGTTTAAAGATAGTGTTGATAATAAGTCAGTAAGTTGCGGAAGATAGTAGGCTAAGTCAGTAAGGGTATGGGACAGTGGCCGAGCCAGGTTTACGTCTGAGTTACCTAGTTATGAGAGGCTGCGAGTGGCACTGGTATGGGAGTTGTTGAGATTTATGGTTGGTTCTTCTAGTAATTTCTACTTACAAAACTTCACAGTGGTGATTTTAAAGATAGTTATTGTAAGTCAGAGAGTGAGGTAGAGTGTTAGCCTAAGTCAGTTGAGGAAGGAAGGTGTGGGGTCACAAGATGATGGGGTTTATTATTTTCTCTAGTGGTAACTTCGCTCAACCTGCAACAGAAACGACCGTAACAACACGTTTCAGGTTCTGTTTTAATATTTATATGTGTGGCCTGTTCACGATCTGAATCTACATTTCGATAAATGCAGGTGCACTATCTTTAAGACGTTGTTTTGTTCTATCCTACATTGTAATTGTTGATTGATTCTCCACTAAATAGTAAAACAAAAGATGTTTAGTACAATGTAGTAAAACATGAAAGGAATGGCACTTTAGGTCTCTCTCAAATGTATTCCCAAATTACTTCTACATAGCCCAAACATTTTCAACAACATAAAAACATTCCAATATTGTCAATTCTTCTAACAAGAAACATACAGCAATCTGTACAGATGAGTTGGCAGGTTTCTATCAGGAATGATAAGCTTGGTCTTCAACAATGTAGTAATAGTCAAAGTTATAGATGAAATTTATCTTTAATTTTCTCGTTCATCATTTGCTGTGAAGGTCAATCCAGATATAGGTCTAGATACTTATCAACCAGTTTCTCCCTGTCAATGATGCAGGTCTGACATGGAAAATGCATTTAGTTGAGTATCGTAGGCTCGAATAACCAATAAAGCAAGCAAATTATCTGTCTAGATTATTCTGAAATATTTTATTCCAATTCAAAAAAAATATTCCTATTGTAGCTAGTGCTTTTAATGAAGTTAGCGGGTAGTTTTATTCCAAGCCAGGAAAATTTCAGCTCTAAACCATTCTGAATGCTTCAATTCCAAGTCATTAAAACTCTAATTATAGCAAGTGGTTTATTCAAGAAATAAAATGAAAATGAATGGAGCTTTACGTCCTACTTTTTCTGAGTCAAGAAACATCGAGCTCTAAACATTGCCGAGTGAGAACAGGTAAAAGAGTTGTAGTAACTGACAGGTAGCTAACAAACTAGTGGCACTAGTAACTTGATAACTTTGACCCTAGTTGACCCCTGCGGTAAGATAAATATTCCACGATATACTGGTACCATATGTGCCAAGTCTGTTTTAGACATTATAGCTTTGATTTGATATAAAAGGTGGTTTAAAAAAATTTTTGATTTGGGATTATTTACCAATTTCTAATTTTCTGAGATTTTAGGTAGGTAATTAAAATTTTAATTCTGCAATTTTATTAATTCTCACTCCAGGCTTATTATATTAGTAACTTTGATAATAAAAACTTTATTTTGTCAATTCATTGAGACATAAATCTGAATATATAAAGTAACGTAAAGAATAAAATCACTAATAAAACGAAAGTTTAGGATAATTTATATAAATTTGCAAAGAGAAATGTGGAGATAAAAAAATGGGTATTCTTCGTCTGTTTTGAAAATAAACTCATGGTACTGATTTTTGTGGTGCGCAGTGACATGTGCATGTTATAGACCAAGTTTAATTTTTTGGACATTGAACAGCAGGGCAGCTTGATGCAGGTGGCATTGACAACGGCTCATCCATGGAAGATATCAAGTCTCTTTATTCAATTCAACATTTACAAACTTTAGAAAAAGAAAAGAGATCGCAAACAAAGAACACTGAAATCTTAAAAATGATAATTAAGTAAGGTTTTTAAGGATTACGTCGTCTTTTGTAATTAGCCTGTGCATGATTAATTAAAACACCTAATTAACAAGAGCTTGAGGATATCTGCACCAATTTTTCAACTGGAATAATATTCTGATCATTATTTTTCTCAGCTGGGTATTTATTAATTATACTTTTGATACATGTTTGTCGTGTGGATAGCCGCAAGCATTCGTGATCTTGCAGGCATGATCTGGAAATAAACTAAGCCCTACTTTTGTCAACAGGATGCTAAGAAAATACGTTTTACTTTTATACGGTTACTGGTGATAAAGAAAGAGTAAGCATATGATCTAGTTAAAAGCATTCCTTGCAGGCATGATCTAGAAAGCTAACTTTTGTCAACAAAATGCTTGGAAAATACGTTTTACTTTTTACACGGTAACTTACTCTTTCTGACAGTTACTGGTGATTATAAAAAGAATGAACATATCAGTCTTATGACCTAGAGTGTCCTAGCACAGCATGCATGGCTTATCCAGAAATAACTTTCAACTTTTTGTTGATAAGATGCTATAGGAATATAGTTTTTACAAGACACTTTTGACAGTTACTGGTGTTTATATTCTAACTGCATGATCTCATAAAAAGCATAATCTATCAATTGTTAAAAATTGTGATTCCATTACTCTCATTGTATTCAAAACACACACATAGGAGTTTTTATGAACTTCTTCACTCTTAATACTAGAAACCATACCAATAGGTCAAAGATTGCTGGTGGACAAGACTGTCTCCAAGGTCATTCTTCAATCTGTTAGCTTTAAGCTTTTCATTCCAAGTTCACTTTTCTGTAATACCTGATGTAACCCTGAAACTAGGTTTTTTAACTCAACATCCCTTTAAGAGAGTTCACATAGCTAAAATGGCTTGCTTAATACACAATCAAATAGGCATTTGTTTCCCAAGTCTTCATAAACTCAATAAGGTACAGGAAAGTATGCCTTAAAACTCCATTTCATTTCATATTGTGTCTTTTTTCACTTTTTAATCAATGAAAACAATTAAAGACTTGTGTCTCAATCTATTGACCAAATATGGTATGATTCAACTCTAGCAATGTAGTAATATGTGTCATAATGAAGATGTTTAACCAAAATCCATTTGTCTGTGAAGGGTGTGGCAGATTTCTAGAGTTTCTTGAAAATATTGATTAAAACCTTTTTTTATCATGTCAATATATTAGTACAGGGTGTGGCTGATATAGGCGTTTGTAAAAATTCATATTGAAATATAATCCCAGAACAATGGACATCATCTCCAACTTTTTTTAGTTTTAAACTGCTAAGTTGTATATTATATGCTAATATTTGTAGATTTTGAATGTAAGCCAATAACAAATAATGAAATCTAGTGCTGTAAATTATGACAGAGACCAATCCTTCCCTTTTTTTTAAGATTTGAAATATCAGCAAGCTTCAAACTGTAGATAGAGATTCTAACCTGCCATAGAAAATATAATATATGTAGGCGTGAGATTGTAATTAGTTATTATGTATATATTAATATATAAACAATATATAATTAAAATAGACTGTAGGTGATATATCATGATAAACCTGTATTCTATCCAACCACCTGTTATCATCATATAAACTTCATTCATATAATTTATATAGTCCTATTTTCACAAAGTTTCTGCTACACATTTGGACCAATTCTGGCACCGGCCTCCCAAAATTGGAGGTACAAATAGGGTACAAATAGGGGACAGATTGACATTTGTGAAACAAATTTGGCAGTTGATATTCAAAATGCGTTAGTTCCTTGGAGAGCATAGAAGCAGGCCTCAGATGGAGAGTTCTCCACCAACAAAAGTTTTGAAAATCAGAATTGATTAAAAACCTATAAAAATCATATTTTTAAATTTGTGGGTGTGCAATTTGTGGCGCCACCATGGATTTGGACATTTGAAAATTCAAAAAGATAGTCAAGGTGGCACCTCTCAGAACTCCCCTCATAGCATACTGCATTATTTTACCATCAATTAATATCTTTGATTTGATGGATAATGTGAAGAAAAGCCGGAAGTTATTTTTCTTAATAAGTTAATAAAGGTTGTTCATGTTAAATATCCATTAATATTTTGAAATTCATAAAGAGTATATGCTTTGGAAATAACCTCTTGGCATTGCCTGCCGCTTTTGTCCAAATGGAAAGATTTTGAAGTTATAACATTAAATTCACAAGAAAACAAGTGTCAGATGTGCTACTGGCTGATTGATGGTGTTCAAAAAGAATATGCTATTGAAATAACCTCTTGGCATTGCCTACTGCTTTTGTCCAAAGGGAAAGATATAGAAGTTATAACATTAAATTCACAAGAAAACAAGTGTCAGATGTGCTACTGGCTGATTGATGGTGTTCAAAAAGAATATGCTATTGAAATAACCTCTTGGCATTGCCTACTGCTTTTGTCCAAAGGGAAAGATATAGAAGTTATATTACTTATAAAAACAACAATTTAATGTGCTACTGGCTGATGAATTCTGTTTTTCTAATGTTGACTAGTCTATAATTATCTCAAGGTTATTGTAAGATTATAAAAGATAAAAAGGACTATCTTGTAAAATATAATTATATCATCTATTAACATAAGAATCAATTATAGCACCATGTTCTAGGTCTATCTTCTAACAGGTACCCTGTCTCTCATTGGTCAATCAAGAGAAACGAAGCGAAATGATTGGTGGGTTTAAATCTACTAGTGTATTATGGTATTGATTATATAACGGCTATGACTCATCTTTGACTAGGAATATATCCTAACTTGAATATATCTCCTAGAAAAATTCTCTCTCAAATTTATTACATATAAAATCCATTTTAGCCAAACATCTCCAACAATTAATAGTGATTAAGACATTAATTTGAAGTTGCCATTAAATTATAAGATTTTTCTTAAGTTTGAATTTTAATCAATTTTTGATGTTAAAAAATCTTGCAATTTAGTTTAATTGCGAAAAGATGAAAATCAAATTTGAAAAAAACTTTGTTTGCTTTATTTGATTACATTTATGTAGATTTCAATCAAATTCAGTCTGTTAAAATTTAACTGTTCTCTGATTATTTTGATAAGATATGGAATGAGAAGAAAAGTAAAACTCTTGGCATGCTCACTCCTCAGAAACATTTTGATGCCACTTTGCAACTAGGTATGTCCACTTGGCATCCGTTACATCTAATAAAAATTCGTACAAACAAGGCAATTCTGTTAATCAAAAATCTTGTCCAAATAATTTTAAATTCAGAAGTAATAGTAGTATAGTAGTGGAATCCTCAAATGAGGAGTACCAACAGGTGTTTCAAAAAGAGTAAGTATGGGCATGGTCTGCTTTGCAATGAGATAATGAGATGCAACCAGGTCAAATCATGAGATTATTTTTATTCAGTGATTCTTTAAAAGATTACAGAAAGTAGAACATTTCAATTTAGTCCGACAGTTTCAACAACATTTGAAGGCTAGATTTAAAATAGACATAATTTACTCCTGTCTCAATATAGATATAATCTGTTTTAAACACCTGATATCACTCTGCAAGTGGTGAAAACTCTAGACTTAATCTTGAACAGGAAGGACCTTGACTCTGTTGGCACTATATTATATATGATCTTACTTATGAATACTCTTGTAGACAGCTCATCAGATGCCACTCTGTAAGTGGTAAAGAATATAGACTTAATTCTTGTTTGATATTACTCATTGATATACTTTTAAACAACTTGTGCTATTCTGTGTAACGTCTCATTGTGGCATCCTATAGTCACTTAATGTGTTGTCACTTTGTGAATACCATCTATAATATATATCTTATATACATATCTGTATTCAATTTAACAGACTGACTTTCGTTTCAAAATAGTCTTGTCTGTGATCTGAAGCTAATCTTCAGAAGCTGTGTTTCAGTGCTTGAGAGGTCAGGATTCTGGATGAAATCCCAGCATTCATTAAGAAAATTGCTTCTTTTGTGTGTCAGGGGCTGACAATAACAAAAATTAAGAAACACATTAAAATTGGACAAAATAACACTGACTTGTAAGTTATCAGGAGAAGTGAATGAGTACCACTAGCAATGTAAATTTTACTGTATTGCACACTTCATGGTGTTACTTGTGACTTGTGCTGCATAAGGTGCAGACAATTAAGCCATTTCTCCATTTAGTTGATTTGTTGACGTCATTTTAACCTTAAAATTATTCCATATTTTACCAATCTATTTTTCCACATTAAATTTCATCAAATTATTCATTATTCATCGTTTCCAAACACAGTTATTGAAAGTTGTGGTATAATCAAGTAGAGGGAGAACAGGAGGAATGATACTAGTAATTTACATCATTATAGAGTAAAATCAATAAGAGATCAGGTTAAGATGTCCCTGGATGCTAGAATGGACTGATCTGGAGAATATCTGCTACTGGAAGCAGGGACTATGTCAGTTCTATTTTTAACAAAGACTCAAAGCTGTTACATAATATTAGAAACTATCCGAAACGTAAACATGTCCTAGTGGGTTTTTGTTTAGATTTTTAACATGGTTATGGTATATACATTGTACAATTTGATGTAATTTTAGGATAAATGTTGTCTGTTGAATGTGTATTACAAAGTAATGTGTTAATATACATACACAGAGAACTTTTTTGTGAGTTTGTATATATAATACTTTACAAACTTTTCGGAACTTTCAGTGTTTTACATAATAGATTTTCGGACATCAGCCCATATACGTTATCGATTTTCGAGAGGTTTTGGATATATGTTGCCATGGTTGTAGACATTGCGCAATTTTGTTTATTTTAGGATTGATGTTGATTCTGAAAAAACCCTTTTTTGTGATATTTTGGAAATGTATTGTTTTGGAAGCTTTCGGCAGTCTTCAGGACATTGAAACTTAGTTAGGACTATGACCTGTCCTTTCTTAATATACATAGTGGATTTTTGTGATCTTGTGCTTCTTTGTAAACATTTAGTATCGTGACATTGGACCATGACCTGTCAGCATGTTCCAACATTTTATATAGGCATAATTTGGAAAACTTATGTTAACTGGAGATTTTAAGTGGTTTTTGGTTGATAGCCAACCTTGATAATTTAAGAAAAACTATTATAGAAATATGGATTTCTTGAGGTTATTCGAGCTTACTCTTTTTTAAAACACTAGACATCACCTAACTCTAGATATTAACCTGTGTTGTTATTGTTGTAGTCATAACTTGTGGATTTTGATGATATATAACCAAACTCTTGTAGTTACTTTAGTAGGAGTTTGTTAATTATAAGGTTTTGTTGAAAGATATGACATGTTTTAAGTTTTGCATGGTTAAGATGTATCTCTTGATAAATTTGTCATTGCTCTGTTAGTGTGTGGGGTGATTGAAACATAACAAGTTACTGTTCAATAGAAGGCACTGGTGCATCGCTCTGTTGTTAAAATATTCATTCCTTTCACATATTCTTCTTTCATTCAGTCAGTCAGTCGATCATTCCTTTAATACAGTTACTGATTTTCTTTCTTTGCTCATTCATTCATTCATTCATTCATTCATTCATTCATTCATTCATTCATTCGAAGCTGCCATGTCTCAGTGAGATTAACCCTTGCTTGCTAACCTAAAGGTTCTAGTTTCAATCCTGGTATAGGTCGAGATAATACTTTCGGATTTTTAACCTGTTATTATATTCATTCATTCCTTTTCATCTTGTTTGGAAAACAGGTTGGCAAATAGATAATAGAAATTCATTCATTCATATATTCATTCATTCTTTTTGAATCATTTTGTTCTTTTATTCAGTCATTTTTTTTTTATCTTGTTTGAAAAACAGGTTGGCAAATGGCAAATATAGTGGGAATTCATTCATTCAATTTAAATCAGTTTGCTCATTTATTCATTCATCTTTACATCTTGTTTGAAAAACAGATAAAGATACATAGATAATAGTAATTCATTCATTCCTTCATTCAATTTAAATTCAGACAATTCCATGTATACTGTTTTTGGTCCTGTTCCAAATCAATTTACTTTGCGATCTCCTTATTTCTCTTATGATCATTGGAATACATCAGAATGGACTTATTTTCGTTTTATATTGAAATTGACTTGTTGTTTCCACCCAGATTGATCTGAAATTAATACAACGCTCACTTGACTGCAGATGGAAATCAGGAAAAAACTTTACAATTTGAATAGTTTGTCTTAATATAAACTACTTTCAGTTTATTGATTTTTATGAGGTAGTAATATTTGTGATAGAATACTATAACTATTAAAAAAACTAACATTGTAAGCTCTGATGATACTTCTGTCTGGAGGATTTCACTATTATTACTTCCAATTTCTTGGGACGAGATTTTTGAGATGAGAATTTTGATAGACAGAATTGCATAGATTTTTATGACTCCAACTTTTCGAAAAATGTTACATATTTCTACCATAGTTTATTGTACCTCTCATATAAGAGTCATAGACTCCAACAAAACTTGCACGTTAGGTACAGAAAAACATTATTTTTGAAGTTATCAAATTGTTAATTAATAACGTTAACACTCATACATTAATCTACGATTTTTTGAGAAACAGGGTCCTGTGATTTGCAAACCGTCCAATCAACACGCTTCTATATTTTTATGTATACTTATATCAACATATTATATTTGCATGTAATTGGAGAATGTTATGAATACTGGTAACCTCTCTTTTAAAAAAGGTGGTTTTGATTGTTTGAAATTTACTGAGCACTTACAAGCTATTTCAAATAGGTGAACAACTGTCCAATAGTTAGATGAATGCTGATGTTTGGATCTTACCCTAATCTTGGAAAGCGCACACTGTGGTATCCAAACTGTCGTATTCTTTTGCTTATCTTGGCTTCTGTAGGTTGACTTGAGGCATTTGTGGTAAGTAAATTCCAGTATTAAAAGCCAAAGTAGACTTAAATTTCATCAATTGAAGACAATACTAAACTTGAGATTAGACTTTGATGATGTCCAGACAAATATTGGCAAAGATCCTGAAAATTCTGGGAATATTTGGCTCATATTTGATAAATTCTGTTGATCTTGGAGTTGATCTATTGATTATCTATTGTGTATTGTTTAAATGACATCATCATTTTGAAGTTTGGCTGATCGTATCGGCCCAGTTAATAACATTCAGTATGTTATCTGTCTGTGGAATAATATAGGACATTGTGACCTGACAAGCTTTTTGGTTAAGTGTTGGAGATATTAAGACATTGAAAATGATCAAGAAGACCTAAAAACAGCTATGTGGACTCTCTGAAAAGAGTACCAGGTTGACAAACTCAATCATAGATTAGCAGTTTGTGACAAGAAATAAGGTTTTCTAAAACTGATACACAGATATTGCTGATGTGAACATTTTAAGAGATGCCAAGTTGATAACATCAATCAGGTGTTCCAGAGGTCTCAGCATGCTTATGTGGACATCTAAGGGCATATTGACTTGACAAAGTGTTCAAGGCTAACAACAGAGTGATCACAGCCTGCCTTGGTAGTAATGCCCAATAATTCCATGTAATAAATTCAAGGTTAATGCACATCTTTTCTCTTAGGTGATGAGAACATAGTCTCATGAAAGCACCGGCCTAGGTCCTTTGTGTGTCAGGCTAATAATTTTCTGTATATGAAATATCATAGACTTTAATATTGATTGTTAATGACTATATATATATGAGTTATATCATTTTCCCTCATTGCACACTGCATTGACTTCTGATGATGACGTTTACTATTGACTGTATATGATTAATAATTCTTGTTGTAGAATTTAGCCCTTTGCACGCTGCATTTCATGATTTGAGTAAACCTCTTTTCAATATTGACTTAAAATGATCTTATACTGAGTTTATAGGACTTTATAAGAGATAAATCGTATTCACTCATTGCTCACTGCAATACCTGCAATTCCCAATATTGACCTTTACTTTCGGCTGTATATGATTAATAATCAGTATTATATCATTGTAAACTCATATAGATAATTCCTATGTCAGAATTTGCCTCATTGCTTACTGCATTTCCTGTTACTTACAATATTGAACTATGATATTGACCTTTGCTATTGACTGTATATGATTAATAATCAGTATTATATCATAGTAAACCTACAGAGATAATTTATTAATCTCTTAAATCAAACCTTACTCTAATTAGGTCATTAGTTTCATTAATTTAACTCAGATAGTTCAAATATTTTACTTCGAATTGTGATTTGGTGTTCATATTTTTAAACTGTGTGGTTTTGTGTCTGTAATAGGTTCATTTTATTTCATCAATATCATGTTTGATAG